AAGCCCTCTCAAAGCCTTAAGCTGCCAAAAGCTGTTGTGTTGGGAATGGCAGCTGTCACCATGGGAGAGATTATGGGAGAACCATGGAGAACCCACCTCACTGTTTTCTCACCTACCGATTTGTTTTCTTTCCTCTTTGTTTGTCCAAAGTCTATTGCGGCCCCACCCTTCACCCTGGAGCTGTCAATTGTTTCTGTTTGTCTCTCTTGGTGTCAAAATGTGTCAAATGTAATTCCTTTTATCCAAGGACCCTTTGCTCTTCTCAGTGGTATCTACAGGGGGTTCTATACAACATTTTAGCAGTGCAACCGCACAGCAAACCAAGTGCATTGTGCTTTTAGAAAGCACATGAAAGCACAGCACAGAATCACCTCGCTTGGCAAGCAATGTTCAACGAGGTTATTTGACGTTTGGTCCGACTGGTCCAACTCTTTGTCGACAACATGTTATTTGGCTCTAGCAACAGCCCAAGCCGCCTCTTGATTATACTCCTACAGCATGTGTCACATTACTGACCCTACATTGAATGATCTCCCTATCTCTCTCCTTCATGCACCTTTGTCGTGTCTTGTCCAAAGTGTCGTGTTGGCTCACGTCGTGTATATTGAATCGTGCAAAAAAATTTACACCAGCATAGACCCAAATAGCTAGGCAGAATCCCACGACCTGTTGACATGCGACTGGCTGGAACAAGAATGTACGCAGCCTGCGCAGCCAGCTTACGGCACCTCCACAGCGCGCACAATCAGCTGACACCAGCACCGGTGCGCTTTGCCAGCTGACAACACCGGCAGCGGCGCCAGCACCCGACCAGCGCCGCCGCCGGTCTTAAACGCGCGCTCAGCCAGCTCACGGCACCAGCACCCAGGACCACAACAAGCACCAGCACCGACACCCTTTCGAAAGCGCGCGCAGCCAGCTCATTCCTATTGGCAAAGAACCCCATAGCTATCCCTATTTGGGGAATAACAACGTATGATCTTGCGCGTATAAGTTTATGTGCACAAAAGTATGCGCGCAAGCAGCAAAGCCCGTAAGTGTCATTGGCCGAAGGCCAAGCAGTCTCCAGCGCCACTATTGACTTTGTAGCATGCTTGAAGCAACGATCTGCAGAACGATACGGCCGTATGATCTTGCGCGTATAAGTTTATGCGCGCAAAAGTATGCGCACAAACGGCAAAGCCCGCAGGCTTCACTCGCCCAAGGCCGAGCAGTATCCAGCACAGCTATTATGTGTGTAGCATGCTGAAAGAATGGTCGGTTGAGAGCCTGACGTTGCGCATAGAACATTGTACGTACAAAAGTACGCGCGCAAACAGTACAGCCCTTGACACAGCTGTCGGCCAAAACAGAACCTAAGAGTGTAAACACCCCGCAGCGCTAGAACGCTCAAGCGACAACACCGCATGATGTTGCGCGCATAAGTTCACGCGGCCCATGACTGCTGGCGCTTCATTGTCAGAAGCGGCGCTTGGTCGCCCTTCACCCTTCACTGTCAGAAGCGGCGGTTGTTATCATTTCACTGTCAGAAGCGGGCGCCAGCACCGAGCATCGGCGCGCCAGCTCACGGCGCCCAGCACCAGCACTCAGCACCGGTATACCCAGCGCCCAGCACCAGCACCGCACCCGCGCTGCCAGCTCACAGCACCGGCGTTGGTGTCTCTACCACGCGCACTGCCAGCGCCCAGCACAGGCACCGTGTCTCACCACGCGCGCAGCCAGCTCACAGCACCCACACCACAGCCCGCACCAGCACCCCGTGCACAGCCAGCTCACAGCACCAGCGCCGGCAACCTGTCTCGAAAGCGCGCGCAGGCAGCTCATTGTTTTTTGAAGCAGATCCGAAAATAGACCCCCTCACATATGCAAGCTACACCACCAGCACCAGCAACCTGTCTCCACCACGTGCACAGCCAGCTCACAGCACCAGCACCGGCGCCCAGCAACCTGTGCATATTTGCAATTCTAAAAACGATCGATTTGATTTCAGGCTTAAGGAGAAAGACCCCCATAGTCATAATCCTCACGTTAAGAATTCCTTGGTTGCAATCCCCTCGGTTCCGAGCATCTATGGGGAATTTCTTGGAGTGTGTTTCATGTTGCATAAAAAGGAATGGCAGAGTTGTCATGAGTTGTCAGTTCTTGGTAGAAGTGTTCCAGGGAATTGAGTTGAAAACAGACAGGTGTTCGCGCAGCTCCTCTGTCACGTTTGTAACTACTGCAATTACTAGGTACTGGTGTTAAGTCGACTCAGCTTCTGTAAAGTCGACTCGGAACTGTCTGCCCTTGCAGAACTGCACTTCACACTAAACACAGACTATAACGCATGTCTTTGTGTTGTGCCCATGGTGTGCCTGATTGTCACTCGTTTGTATCTATGAGGCAGCTTCCACAGGGGTGAAGGGTCAAGGATTTGGGACCGTTGCGATAGCCACAATTGCTGCTGGTGCTGCTCTGTCCCGTGCAGAAACAAGTGCTGCAAGGGCTTTGCCGTGACTTAGTCGCGGCGTCGTGTCGCAGTGTGCTTGCCACAACTGCTTTGCAAGGACTTTCGCGTTTGGGTGTAAGTGTTTCCGTTGTCCGTAGGAAGCCGTAGGACGACTATAGGAGTCGTGCTCGCGCGAACCTCGGGCGGGCTCGCGCAGAGGAGGCTCGCGCAGAGGCCTACGTGTCATTTGTGTGTGTGTGCGCGCGCAACCTGTTCTCTAAGTTGCGCATTGGTGTGAGCAGTGCTGTACCATTGAGACTTGGGCTTGAAACATCTAGAAAGCAAGGCCATCCACAACACAGTGTGCGCACACTTTTCCTTGAACGCGACGCTTTCATGCCATGCTCATTTTTCAACTGTGCCCACCCTGCAGCGGCACCAGCGTGCACGCTCCAAAGCGCACACCACCATACATCTGGTGGCACACTGCAGTGGCACCAGTGCCCAGGTTCCAAAGCGCGCGCGGCCATACACATCTAGCCACACGCACTTCTTCCTACACTCGGAAAAAGGGCCGCAATAGCTCGGGCTATTTTGAGAAAGGGATGCCAGGTTCTCAAGGGCACCTGCCGGGGCATACTTATGTTGCAAGATATAACCAGCCTATATCATTTCTACTACAACTATTGTGTTTGCCCTGGCCCTCGGCATCCATCTAGCCAGTCACTGAACCTACCCATCAGTCCATCACATGCTTCCTGTCAATGCATCATCCCAGCAACGTCGACTCCTTTAGCATGGAAAGCGCAGTAGTTTGCAAAATTTGTTGCTGCGAGATTTTTGTGGTACCTTCGATGTAACTCCCCGAAAAGGGCAAAACAGCCTTCTCTAATTGTCCGGGCCAACACAGGATTTGTAGATTTGTACGCAGATCGAAGGCACATGATTTCTCCCAGCAAACCTATATGCCCTCGCAAAGACGTCCGAAACGCTTTCTTGTGTGTTTTCTTGTACGGTGGTGTGCGCTGTAGTGATGATCGTAGCCAGAAAGAATAGATAACACCAGCATAGACCCAGATAGCTAGGCAGAATCCCACGACCTGTTGACACGCGACTGGCTGGAACAAGAATGTACGCAGCTTGCGCAGCCAGCTTACGGCACCTCTACAGCGCGCACAATCAGCTGACGCCAGCACCGGTGCACTTTGCCAGCTGACAACACCGGCAGCGGCGCAGGGGCACGACCAGCGCCGACACCCTTTCGAAAGCGCGCGCGCCCAGCTCATTCTTATTCGGAGCAAGAACCCCATAGCTATCCCTATTTGGGGAATAAGTGGGAATAACAACGTATGATCTTGCGCGTACAAGTTTATGCGCACAAAAGTATGCGCGCAAACAGCAAAGCCCGTAAGTGTCATTGGTTTAAGGCCAAGCAGTATCCAGCGCCACTATTGACTTTGTAGAATGCTTGAAGCAACGATCTGCAGAACGATAAGGCCGCATGATCTTGCGCGTATAAGTTTATGCGCAAAAGTATGCGCACAAACGGCAAAGCCCGTAGGCTTCACTCGCCCAAGGCCAAGCAGTATCCAGCACGACTATTGCGTGTGTGTAGCATGCTGAAACACGCTGAAACAAATGGTCGGTTGAGAGCCTGACGTTGCGCATAGAACATTATACGTGCAAAAGTACGCGCGCAAACGGCACAGCCCTTGACACAGCTGTCGGCCAAAACAGAACCTGAAGAGTGTAAATACCCCACAGCGCTAATAAACAAAGAACGTTCAAGCGACAACACCGTATGATGTTGCGTGCATAAGTTCACGCGGCCCATGACTGCTGGCACTTCATTGTCAGAAGCGGCGCTTGGTCGCCCTTCACTGCTGCAAGCGGCGGTTTGTTACCCTTCGCTGCTGGAAGCGGCGGTTGTTATCACTTCACTGTCAGAAGCGGGCGCCAGCACCGAGCACCGGCGCGCCAGCTCACGGTGCCCAGCGCCAGCACCAGCACCCAGCCCAGCGCCAGCTCACAGCGCCAGGAGCAGCACTGGCAACCTTTCTCGACTCTCGAAAGCGTGCGCAGGCAGCCCATAGCTTCGCTATCTGTGAGAAAGATCCGAAAATACACCCCCTCACATATGCACCCGCACCCGCACCGGCGCCCTGCACCCGCACCAGCACCGGCGCCCGGCACCAGCACCAGCAACCTGTCTCCACCACGCGCACAGCCAGCTCACAGCACCAGCACCAGCGCCGGCACCCAGCACCCAGCACCAGCACCAGCAATTTGTCTCCACCACGCGCACAACCAGCTCACAGCAGCACCAGCATCGGCACCCAGCACCAGCAACCTGTCTCGAAAGCGCGCACGGACAACTCATTGATATTTGAAGTAAGAACCCCATAGCTTCGCTATCTGGGGAAAAATAGTAAAACTGCACACAGTCTTCCTTTCTTTGATTCTATCCTTCTGTCTCCCTCTCTCCCCGGTCTTTGTCTCTGTGTGTGTGTGTCTCTCTCTCTCTCTCTCTGTGTTTGTCTTTCGCTTTGCTGCCTACTTTCGTGGACACTTGGGCTCACAGCATGGAACTCATGAAACGATGGGGGCGGTGAGTAGTGGTTTGACCGATGGTTTTCGTGGGAATTGCTGTGTTCAACGTCGGCCACCAGTCCGGTGCTTTAATCCGCACTTGAATCTTCAGCTGTTAAAGCTGGAACACTCTGGTGCACGGATCGAGGAAGTGTGGTTGGTGAGACCAGAAAGAGGGATTCAAGCTCCACTATCCCCCAATCTCTCCATGGAGCCCATGGAGAGTCGGCTGGCAATTGTTTACAACATTAGCGAGGGCGATGCGAGTGAAGGATCGAGCATCAAACCCTTGCGATTGGATTGGCACCCAGATGGCCTCGCATTCATGCGCTTGACTTCAAACAACAGCGGTTTTTATGTGTCTATTGTCTTTGGACCACTACATATGTGCACCGTATACCAACACAGCCTTTCTAGCTTTTGTATCTATGTGCAGAAGAGATATTCTTCCCGCTTGGGCCGGGCTTTGACACCTTAGGCAAGGTGGGCTGTCCAAGAACTGCGTCAGTATGAAAGTGCCTTCGGAGCCTTTATCTCTGGAAGTGCTCATGCAACATCTCCAATCCATTGAAAAGACACTTGCCGAGCTAGAAGCGTTCCAATTTATATATATATATGTTGTCCAAGGCCATTCAAGCAGCCCAGTCTTGCTTGAAAGCTTAGTAAATCTCAGCCTCCACTCGTGAGCTGGTTTTAGGGGCTCAGCTGCCTGCTACGTGTGTTTTGTCTAGAGTCTAGATCAGGTTGTTGTTTTGTAGGTCAGAGGTTTTCCGGTTTCAAGCCTTAACAAATATTGCGGCGTCAAAAGGGTGGGACAGGCAGGTGGGTGTTTCTGCAAATTCCGGCCGGCTCAACAACAAATTGTGTTTTGCATTGTTTTGCCACTGTATGTCGATCCAAGGAAAGCTTACGACCCGCAGACCTTCAACTCCAAGGATTTTTGTCCCTTGGGTTTACATAAACGTGAACATCCAAAAATGTTGTGTGTGTGTTATCTTGGAGTCATATGGGGGGTATTTGGCCTTTGAAGCGAAGAGAAGAGCGCGCATAAAAGTGCCAAGTTTGTGGCTGATTTCTGCTTTTTGCAACCTTTTCGAAAACCTTTGCTGACCTCACCAGATCTGACTTCTTTTTTCGCAAATCTTTTAAAGCAGGGGGCCATCCCTCTCACCATCGGTGGATGGCCAATGAAGGCCAATGGTGAGAGCTGTACGCTGTAAACGTACCTGCAATTTATGGTGCACCTGGGCAATTTCAAGATGACGCAGCTGGAAACCACTTGTTTTCCCAGGAACATTTTTTCGCTTAGGCCTGTGGGTGGTGGTGGCGGTGGCCGTCGAAAGAATTCTTACCTCGAGTGTGTGTGTGTATGTGTTTCTTGCTTTTCGTGCTGAAACTTAGCAAACAGCGACTGAGGCGAATATTTGTACGGCCTTGTCGAGGGCAAGGAGGAAAGGAGCATCAAGCAAGATGACTTTAGGTGATAGGATCACGTGATACGATCCACGTGATTTGGATGAGTGTGAGCAAAGTTTTGCATATGGCTTTGTTTAGTTCACCGGTTTCCGCATTTTCCATATTTAATGTTTGCCCTTTTGCGTCACCGGTGAATCTTTTCAACAGAGACAAATTCGTTTGCCGGCAGCTGAGCACGCAATTACAGCAGCAAAAGTGGCGCATGGATTGCAGGGAGGGTGGTAGTTGGGAGACATTGTGAGCAGCTAGGACATTTGATTTTCCACAGGACCTTCTGCTTGACACTCGGCAGGCGGAGGTGAGCCACGTCAAAATACACTATGTAGATCTATGTAGACTTTTGGACTTTTGGTCATACGGTTGTCCTGACATACCCACCGCGAAATGCAAACTCAATTCGCGAAAGCCTTGAGCAAGCTGTTGCGAAGGATGGAACGAAATTAAAAGCATGCTTGCGAACAGAATATGCGAAGGGCCATGTTGGATGACGTACAGATGTACAGGCCATATGTTGAATACAGTATAATATGAGTTTTATATATATATATACCTTTGTTGCGAAAGTTCCCGCGAAAGGACCGCAATAACCCTGTGCGAAAGGATACTACAAGAACAACTAGTTCCAATAGGATTTTAACACCAGCTCAGTTGAGTCCGGGTCTGATCAATGGGTGTTTTCCTCTCTCCACTACTGCTTGAAACTTGGGCTTTAGTTTTGGTGGCTCACGGGCTTGCTCCTGTAAGGGCTAGCATAAAATCAAGAAGATCAGAGGGGCTTGCAAAAATGACTCTCACTTTTTTTTGACTCTCAGTTTTCTTGTTTCTGACGCTAATGATATTGATACTAAAGAAGAGGGGGAGGAAAAAGATGAAGATGCTCTCAGTTGTCCTATTCACCTTTGATTTGGATGCTAAAGCAGAAGGGGAGGAAGAAGAAGA